TGGCAGGACAGACAGTGAGTTCATGAACGGCCTCCATGGCCGTGGTAGGACAGACAGTGAGCTGATGAACGGCCTCCATTGCCATAACAGGACAGACAGTGAGTTCATGATCGGCCTCCGTGGCCGTGACAAGACAGTCTGTGAGTTCGTGAACAGCCTCTGTGGCCGTGACAGGGCAGACAGTCAAAAACAGTATCAGTAAACTATTTCTTATGATTTTAAATCTGCATTGAACTTCAGATCAATCTCAAAATAAAAGGCGATACTAAAGTCTGATTTTGTGGTGGATGTGTTAAAATGTTATCATCTTAATTCAAGTGATGAAGGATTTTGAAAGTCTGACAGTATCAGTGTTGAGCACTACTGTAAGGTTAACCCTGCATGGTGTAAATGTTTGAAAATGATTAACAGTTGAAAACATTCATTAGAAATGTAGAAAAGTAATCAAAAAGTAATCAGTTGCATTACTTTAATAAAGTAATTGAAAAAGTTAAACTACTATTACTTTTTAAATAGGGTAACTTGTAATCTGTAACCTATTACATTTCCAAAGTAACCTTCCCAACACTGGCCATTGGACAGTACACACGTGGGAGCAACCAATCAACTTTTGCCTGAATTTGAAGAGCCAACCCTCTCTCGCTTGTAAATATTACACTGTCATTGGACAGTGAGAAAAGCTATACGTCATTACAGCGGGAGTATGAAGACGGATTCAAGTGACGCAAAATGTCAGGGGAATCTGAACGTGTTTTGAGAGGGATTGTGGATGATTTGTTAGCTTTAGCTGATTTCTGCGAAAGAAATTCTCTCGGTTATCAGGGGCTGGCGCAAAATGCAGCATCGGCATCTCGCAGCGGCACTTCCGGCTGCATCTCCAGCAGCACGGACTTTCTTCGCTGGCCAATTACATAATTTGATGTAATACTTTTTTATTTTAAAAACTACATTTCAACAAAATAACATTGCGTACCACATGACTGTCATTTGTAGGCATTTATCATGAAGTTTGTTAATAAAGTCAGTGCATGTTTGATATTCGCTGCATAATCGTCTAGGCTGCTTTAGGGGCCGTCTGCAAATTTACCTCAGTACAAAACGAAGTTCAATAATTCATTCAAATTAATGTTTTCACTGCAGGTCTATAGTAAAAATAATAGTAATACAAGCTTTACAGTTTGCTAATCTGTTATATTTAAATGTTAAAAGTCATTTTATTTAAAACACATCGGACGTTATAACCCAGTTGGTGGAATTGTCATTCGGTCCCTTACCCATCAAGCGCTGTGATAGCACTTCAAAGCTTTCTCCGGTATAAATTTACTGCTAGAATACACGAAGGCGGTTTTGGGGCCTCAGGAGCAGATTCATGGACAGGAGAGGCCTCAGGAGCAGACTCATGGACAGGAGAGGCCTCAGGAGCAGATTCATGGACAGGAGAGGCCTCTTGAGCGCAGTGTACAGCCCACACGCTTAAAATGGCAACCGCCATTACAGTAAGGGCAGCAGAGGGCAACAGGATCTCTAGGACGGCTGGGCTTGAGAGCACTGATGTTATGGGGATGCCCGCAGCTCGCTCCGACATCAGAGGTGGGTCCATCACACTAGCAATCAGACCTTTCAGTCCAAGCCCAAGCTCCGCGTCCGACTCAGGC